ATTGGTTGTTCCACATGGGCATGCAACGAAGGCCCGCCCGGCAAGACTGCCTGCTTCACGATTTGGGATCCACTTTTTGGACCGTCTTTTCGGGAAGGCAAACCCTCTCTTTGGTACCATAAACTATATCCCGATTGGTAAGCGGGCGGTTCCCCAGCACACAGAATCCAAATCACCAGACAGTGCGCCTAGCTAGTAACAGCTAGTGTTGGCTAGCTAGCTTGCAGCCATGGCATCATCAAAGAAGGAGTTTGAGTGCCCTTACTGCAATAAAAATTCAAATCTGTGGGATATCAGCAATCTCACATGCAACAGAACAAGTGCTGCCACCAACTGATGCAGAAAGCCCTTGGTTTGGACCTTGCTTTCAATCCTATAGGTGCTAGACAGACAAGATCAAGGGCCAGAGCTGATCAGCTTGGTCTCACTGACACCGGTCGGCCCGCAAAAGCACCAAGAAAGGCAGCAAGAGGACAAGATTCCAGGGCAGCCATTCCACAAGGATTGCAGGACGAGGATGCCCATGCCAGGGCCTCACTCCAAGGTAGTGGTGGTTCCAAAGAAGACACAGACCATCGGAAACCTGCAGCAAATCCTCGAATCGGCAACAAAAAGGGCGCCGATGGGGAAGGAAATGGGGAGCTAGATGAGGATGGTGATTTCCTACCAACATTGATCGTTTCAACGCGGATTCGGATAGTGAGCCTACCAGTGAGGACAGTGAGCTCAGTTTGGAAGGGTCAGTTGCCACATTGCAAGGTGACAACAAAGAGGACTTGGATGATACCGGCCCCCCAGACGAAAGCAACATAAACGCATTCAGAGCCTACTGTGTCAAGGCAAAGAAATACCCGAGCTAACCGATTCGGAGAAGCGAGGGGTAAAACTAATGGATATCCTCCGTAGGAAAAGGACACCTCTGGATACTTATGATGATCCCGATTCCAATCACTGCACGCATTCTTGGAAGAAATTACGTCACGGATCGGGATCGTGCTGGTTGGCGTTTGGTACCTGCACGCATGTCGATTCTAGCACTACCTAAAAATGCGCTTCTTAGATGACAGAGGCTCAAACTCATTGTCCACATGAACGGTCGTGATTTTAAAACCACGAGCCTTGTAAATTAGATACACCTCCTTAACTGCTTCTAGGATGGTCTCTAGTTTCCTGTTGGGCAGGTGTCCAGCTGTTGTAAAATCTATTTTACGGCTTAGCGTTAACAGGAACGGAATTCCTGCCACAAAGAAGATGTCAATCGTCAGGTACACATCTTTGTGTAATTGCAAAAAGTCTCTCGGTACTTTCATTGCACTGCCTGCCACTGCATTCGGTTTCTTCCGAGTGGTCTTGCCTTTCAACGCATCAATATCCTTGCTCCATATAGCTTGTGCCGTATTGATGTCTTCGACGGTCACTGCGCAATTTGCGATTTGATTGCTCATAATCGCCCATCGAAAATCTTTAATCGATGGATAGACGAGTTGCTTGTACAGCAGCTTCGCCCTTGATGTGGCTTTAACTTGTCGTTTGCTGAAGCCTTCCTTATTTTCGGCGACAGTATTCACAAGTGCCTTCCCTTTTTTCCTAGGGTCATGAACGTGTAATCCTTCACTAGTCTTCGTGCCCCCTTCCTCTGGTGCTGCCTTCTCGAAGGCTTCCAGGATTTCATCAACGTACTTGTACATTGACACATTGCATTGACCCTTCGTCGTGAAGTCTATGGTCATGCCGAGATACGTGTGGACCTTTCCTCGCCTCACCGTCATCTCTCAAGTGCCGTTCTCGAATATGCTTTCGTACTCATCACGAAGCACTTGGATCAGCTGGTCATTCACCTTCGAATCCTTGTGGCTGAGCTTACAGTCGTCTACATGCCAGCAGACTGTCTGTTGCTTGCCGTGTACCATTCTGTTGGCTACACATGGATCGTAGGGATTAATTTTAAATCCATTTCGGAGCATTGTCTTCCGGAACTTATGGTAGTATAGTGGGCTGGCTACCATGGTACTGTAGATGGCATTCAAGCATTGCAGCAGCAACTGCTTGTTGCCTTTCTTATCCGTTGTCACGAACGGTTTGTAGACATCTGGGGCAATTTTAATCAGCATGTCTACTAGTACTCCTCTTACTCTAATGATTATCATATCTTTTTCATCCTCGACTCGTGTCTAATGAAAGGCGTTCGGGATGTCAATTACTGCCACATCCCTTTCCTCCTCAGCGTCGATTATGCAGGAGAATAGTACTGCTTCTTTCGACACTATTGGCGAGCTTGCGTCTTTCTTGGAGATGAAGTTGCGCTGTTTGTTGCCTCCGGCAACTGCTCGGCCCTTGATCTTCCCATTCCTTTTCAACTTGAGGAACAGGTGTGACTCTAGGATACTCTTGCGTTCCTTTTCGCTGAGTTCTTCCATATTCTTAGGACGGAAGGTGTCCCTGAGATGTAACTGTTTCATCTCGGCAAAAGCTGCATCGTGCGCTTTGTCCTTCCACTCCTTGAGCTCAGCCTTCAATGACAACTATGTCATGATGGCTGCTACCACATCAGGTTTTTCGTCTACCTGTGTGTAGAACATGTGTGCATCTGGGTGCAAAACACGTTCACTTGTATAGACGTTGGTCGTCTCATACTTCTTGCCGGAGAAGCTAGGAATATACGATTCCTTTGCTTGTGTCCTCACCTTACTGGACCTGCACACTCCTGCAGTTCGGAGATCACTGCCAGGTACATGAGGAACCGTAACAGCATGGTTGGATGCACGAAAGCGGCCATCTGTATTGGAACGAGCGGAAACAAGCAAGGAGATTACAAGTTTATGAGCCTCCGCTATGGCAAGAAAATTACTAAGCATTCGTGGGACAAGATCCCCATGCCCGACACAGTGATAGCTAGAATCAATCTATTAGGAAAGGATCAGCCTAAACTACTCGTTTTTACTGACCGAAAGAATAGACCTACACAACATTCGCAGATGTCTGCTGATGGGTTTGCCATGTCTACTAATATGGAATTTGCAGGCAATTTCTTATATTGCAGACCGAATACAACCAAAACCTAGTTTTGCAGACAAAATTGCAGACAAGCCCTAAGCACGGATGATTTTGGAGAAATAAAGTTTATCCTTAGCTTTAAATTCACGTAGAGTATGTACCGAGCGCTACAGCGGGAAAGATTTAGTTTCAGTGCTCTACAGTGTTCTTCCAGTACGGCAAGATATAATGATTAGCACACCACTGGAAAGCGCTTCTAATTCTGATTCCAGCCATGTTATATAAGTGGGGTACTTCGATTTAAAACCAACCCAACGACGGACATGCCACATCTGGGTTTTAGTGTGACACGTCTTAGGTAGGAGGTGTAAGTTAGGGGTTAAGAGATACACCAACAACAATGAATTTATAATGAATTTATTCACACCATATTGTATTTATCCCTAAAATTACCTCGTTTGTTAAGTAATACTGACCCAGCCACTGACGGGGCCCGCTCGATATCCAGCCACCGCCCGGGGCGGTTGTGAGACGGATCCAGCCACCGGATAGCATCATTGAAGCGGTTGGAGAGGATGTTAACTGGAGTAGCGGTACAGTAGCAACGAACGAGCAACTGTTACCTGTTTACTGATTACCGGTACTGACTGGAGGGGCCAAACAGTAGCAGTAATGGCAGTAATGCAGTACACTGTAATTCCTCAGTAGCAGTAATCAGGTACAGTAATTTAAAAAAGCCATTTGAAGGCAGTAAATCACAGTAATTGCATTAAAATAGGGTGATTACTGTGCTTTTACTGTCATTTACTGTCAATTACTGTTGAATTGGCAGATTTACTACTGCCAGGAATTACTGACTACAGTAACTACGCCAATAAAGGCAGTAAAAGTACAGTAAGTAACCAGTAACCAGGAATTACTGCAGTAATTTCCAACCAAGACCTACCGGCCCATGAGGCTTCCAAAGATCGAGGGGATGACCATTCGAGCGCCACTCTTCAACCTGACAATCAGCCAGCCAGCAATCACACCCAAGGGCGTACGACACTGCTTGGCATGATGAGGATTGGCGTTTGTTTATTCCACGAGGTTCAAACAATTGTGGCATGCTGACTGGTATGGCATGATGGGAGTTGCGGGAATACGTGTTTAACATTGTTTGTCTGGTTGTTCTGTTTTGGAAGAATGGCTGAAAATAGAAGAATGACACAATCCGGAAGGATGACACAATCTGGAAGAATGACACAATCTGGAAGTCCCTACGCATGAACGCGTAGAAACTAGTAACAGGTGACTTAATCTGGAAGAATGACCCAATCTGGAAGAATGACATAATCTGTAAGCATGACTCAAAGTGGAAGATTGACGCAAACTTGCCAGTGGACCAACAAACTCTCTCTCAAAAGCCCATTCCCCGCAACTCCATGGTTGCTTGGGCATAGCCACCGGGATGTTTGGCCTTGATCAAATGGTAGTGGTGTAGATCGATGCATGGTGTTCCCCTCATAATCTCAAGAGTTGTTTGTCAACAAAACCGTGCAAAACAACCCCATCCAGCCAAAATAGCTGGTAAGCAAATCACATCAAAACAAAAAGGCGAAACAACAACAATGAAGTGGATCCAAGCCGTCGTGTGGTTCTCGTCATTGGTATCTTTGACCGAGGCAGCCCAGGGTGGCTTGCGTCAACTGCTTTCTGGTAACACCTGTGTCTGCTGGGATGACTTGGATCAGGTAAGTGGTGTACTCGTATCGCTCTTCCGCGACGAATGAATCAGGTTGTTTGTTGATACTGTACGCTTTGGTTAGCCAGTGCTACTATTACATGTACTAGATTCTGGATCCTGATGGATGGATGGACTAATGACATGTATCTTCGTATCTCCACAACGCGCAGGTGGCAGCCGCGGATTTCTTCGACTGGAAGTACAGAACGAATAGCGCTTGGAATATTGACGAAGTTTTCAATAGCCAAAGCCGGAGTTACTATCTGGTTCAGCATTTGAATCCTTATGAGGATGTACCTCACTACAATTGGGGCTATTGCACTGTCTACCGTCACGGACAAAGCGTTCATAGCAAGAAGAGGTTGTCTCGGGAAGAATTCCGTGGTTGTCGCACGAACATGCATCAGGAAGTGGATCGACTCTGTGCGGACCCAAATCTCAATTCGTCTGGAAAGTATATCGAAGGTTGTGATACAACCCGGGTACCAACCCCTGCTCCACACCCCACACCCGCTCCCACCGACGAGCCATCCGCCAGCCCGAGCCTCAGTCAGGCGCCTTCCATTAGTCCCTCCAAGGCTCCCACCATCACCCCGACCGTCAGCGCGGCTCCTACGACATTGAATGGGTGTAAAGGTGGGCTCGCTGCCGTTGAGATTCATCTTTCCTTGAGCGATTCCGCTAGCCAAAATCAATGGGCAATCTACAGGATTGGGCAAGCGGGAGACAACCGTGTGCACAAGCAGCTCAGTTATAAAGAAGCCCCCAAGGGAATGTTCTACACGAAACTGGAGGAGTTTTGCCTCGACGATTCGTATAACTATGTGTTCAAAGTAAGTGCCGCGTCCTTGATTCGCTGTTGGTCAATGCGCTCAATATACAAGATCACACCTCTCAACTCGAAAACCATGCGCACCATCAACAGATTTTCAATTATTGGGGGCAATTTGAATACGACGACGACGACGACGACGACAGCACCGACGACTTCTTCCCTTACGCCGGCGGCATGGGTACGTCGTTTCGAGCATGGTTCTCGAATGATTTGCCTCCTTGCCATGGAATACACGTCTAAATCTTCTTTCATCCCTTACTGCGGCATTCAGATGGTGGAACCTACGAAGTTGTAAGTTCCCAAAAGTTCCAATAGTACTGCGTTAGACCGCAAACATACAGTATTTCTCACCGACATTGTTCTCGTGCTTAATTATATATTGGGAGAGCAGGTTGTCAACGGTGTCGTCGTCAGGCCATCCGCAGACTTTGACGACCCAAACAAAAAGGAAGATTCGGTCTGCTTGAACCTCCAAAATGTGACGGATACATCGGTTTGCGATGGGGTTGAGTTCGAACAAGGCTATGAAGACGTCGACCGTTAAGTGAATGAAGGCTACATGTAAAGTGAAGAGAGACACCTGCGGAGAAATGAGACAAAAACAAGTAGTAAGAAAGAGACACAGACAACATGGAGTATCCTCGTGAATACCTGGTACCGGGTTACGCATGTTGTACTGCCAAAAGAAATGCATTAAACATAGTGGTTCATGGAAACTTTTACTGTCATTTCTGCTTCCACCTTAAAATGCGATGGCAATGTTTAGTGTCTTGAGCTGAAACTTATGGTGGTGCAAGTTGTACAACATGAAAGCACTTGTGTCATCGGATATGTAGCCCGAGCCATACAGTGACTTAGTTCAATGCATCGTTTACAGACCCGTATCTCAATTGCCCTTGTGAAAGCTACCCATTTATGTCTCCGTGGATCCCGCAAAGCCAAACCCTTTGCCCCCGTAATGGTCCTCAATTTCTTGCCCCTGATCCCACAGAACCTAGTCCTGGATTTCGACTGTTCTTTGCTTAAGCCTGGCCCCGGCTGGCTTCCGTAGATAATTTCCCTACTCTAAACCCCCTTATATATTGTTTAGGCTTAAGGATGTCTCATGCTGTTATGAAGATAGCGAATCGGTGTTGTGTTGTTTGTGTCCAGTGAAGCAAGCCAGTGGATTGGCAAACACATCTCTAGCAACGTCAGGAATCTGATCTGTTCCGAAAAACTATTAGCCACTTTCACGGAAATTCACGTACCTGACTAGCTAGCTAGCTAGCTGGAGCCTCAATGGCCCTTGCTGGCTTCCGTAGATAACCCTCCTACTCTAAGCCCCCATTATACCCCTGAGGTGGCAACCTCATTGCCATTGGGTGACTACGGATGGAGCTGTTTTGGAATTCAAAGAGGGCCTTGCCATAAGGGGGTTGGTGTTGAGGCTGGATCATCCCGACACAAAGAAATGCCGGGAGTACATAAGAGTTGATGTCATTCATGAATCAAGATTTTGGAGCTTTGATGCATGTTGGCTCAATTTCAGCTAAGAGGGCGAATCAAATCACCAGGGAAACTGCCTTTTTTGGAAAACGAGGGAATGTGGGAAGCAACTGAGCCTTGGCTTGTGGGTTGTCCTCAAGCAGGCACACCAGGAAACATTCACTCATATCTTACTATGGTTATCAACAACGCAACCATTCACATCAAAAAGTCAAACAAACTATATATAATCGATTCCTCTTGTCTTGCCGTTCACACGTACTGCTAAGTCAACCTTTCTGCCTCCTCCTCGTTTCTCTCCCTTTTGATTCTCCAACATACAAACTAGAACCTGGACTCTGATCCTAATCTTCTTTTTTGTTGCACAGTTTGTGTTTAGATTCTGCAGAGATCTCCATTGGTGATTTCTTGGTTTCTCCAGAAGGGCGGGGACTCGCAATGTAGCCCACAAGCACGGAAAGGGCTGTTCCCAGAACAACAAGAAACAGAGATGGCCCGAGCAAGGACTCCAGGAGGAATAGGGAACCAAACACAAGCAGGAACACGATCAAGAGCAAGCATTGGATATGCAAACTTTGGCTATTGCAAAAATCCGCCATGGCAAAACCTGCTTTTGCAAAGTGGGCCAGTCTATCAGCATCTTTGCTCCTGCAGAACCACGGGGAGACACCGATACAAACCATACGAACAGGTGTCATGGCCATGTGAGCCACAAAATGAGACGACAGTCGTGTGGAAATGCCGCCTTGGAGCTCCATGTTTGGAGTACTGTGCTGCAATGCAACGTAGCAAGATGCCACGATTCCATCAACGACAAGAGTTCCATCGGGTGTCAAGGGAGCATGCATGCTTGAACAGTAAACCGTCTTGACCTTGGTCACTGTGGCACCATGATTGGGATACAAGGGACTGCGTAGCCGATCGCCTGGTTGGATGGAGCTGGCGGGTACCGCATGGGACATGGTAACTAAGAACAGCAAGTGGTCTCCCGTGATTTCGAGTGGCTGATTGGGAAACTCTTTGGTGTGTAGTTGTAGGCATTCGGTTTCTGCCAAGGAGGTACTGGTGGCACCGTGGGCAAAGGCATACACGGGCTGATAGTGCTCTCTTCCAGTGAGGATGCGATCGCCAAGTTGCACTTTGCCCATGAAAGTTGGGCCCTTGTCTTGGACTACAGTTGTGGCAACCTCCGAAAAGCATGTTTCAGTGGGTGGATCTGTGGGCGGATCTGTGGGTGGATCTATGGGTGAAGCTGAGGGTTGATTGGAGGGTTGATTGGAGGGTTGATTGGAGGGTTGATTGGAGGGTTGATTGGAGGGTTGAAGTGAGGGTTGAAGGGATGGTCGAAGTGATGGTGCTTCACTAGGAGTGTACGGGCACGAAATGTGTTCCACTGCTCCATCATTCGTGTCATTTGTCCTGATGTGAATTCCGTCGTGCAACTGTCATCCGAGTAATCCATGTAGTTGGTGATGGAGTCAACACCACCACCGGTACAGCTATCTTTTCCCACGGGGCAACCATCCGATTCTGTTGATTGTGGCGGAGTATCGACAACAAAGTCAGCATCATCACAGCTCCCAAATTGATCATCAAAGACATGGTCTGAAGTGACAATCCAGCCACCAGCAATCAAGCAAAGTCTTAGTTTGATATTCACAAGCAGTGCAACACAAGCTCTATCAGCTACAAAAGACAAGAACTTACAAAGGCCCAACCAATGCCCAGCCTCGTGCACACTTTCAAGAGCAAAGTATAAGTTCGCTGGTGTGTTAGAAAACGGAGACATTTGGGACCATCCAAGGAATGAAACTGCATGGGTTCTTCTCTACTCACAGGGTATCCCCTTCATTCTGACCAGTTGAATTCCCTCCTGGCGCTTTTTGGAAGTTCATGAGCACAAAATCCTCAGGGAGAAAGTTTGGATCACAATATTCTGCCAAAGTGGCGGCACCAGCAACATCCGGGAGGTTGTTCCAAAATACGTTCAAATCGGCACAACCTCCTTGATGCAGCGCTGTTAACATGGGATCAAGGCAAGAATCCTTTGTGTGGGCGCAATTGTACCAAGCCGTGTTGGAGGTTTCAGTAGTTGTTTTGCTGGTGAATTGAAAAATTGTGCCTGAAAAAGCCATGTTGAGGACGTTCATGTTGTCAGTGATCATAGTTGTTGTGATTCCTCCAGTGCCATCATCCTGTCGAATGATGTGATTGTACACATCGATAGTGACTGTGGATTCACCAACAAGAGTGCACGGAAGGGACTCATCGCAGCCCTGTTTGCCACGCCATGCCCTGACAGCCTCTTGTGAAAGCTCAATCTCTTCCGGACTTTGCCTCCCGGTACCACATGTCTTTCTACCTGCAGCACTGTTGGCCGTTACACTATCCGTCAGAGAACGAAGTTCGTTGGGATTAGCATGATGGTGGTGGTGATGATCATGAGCAACCACGTCCTGAGAGCAGACGAGAATGGCCAATCCCAAACATAGAGTAACACTCCTGGCAAGGTTAGCCATGCCATTGAAGCAGTCGGGCAATAACATGATGTCCTTTCCCTTTACCAACACACAGACAACTTGGTGATCTAGCACCAATTCTTTGCAGTTTTTTTTAAAAAAAGACGTTGGTCGATCTGAGCCCATACAGAAGTTGCTCAGGACCTTCCAAATTTTAAAAATAGTGCGTCGTAGGGTATACCTTTCGTGCTTTTGCTACGCTGTACAGTAGGCATGGTAAGTACTTACTTTTGATCCAGAGTGTGTGAAGATTGAGTGAAGATTGAGCGAACGTTTGCTTCTGTTAATTAGATCAAAAATGTCTAACTAAATTGAGTAATTAGGTGAGAAAGCTAAATAATATCCATCAGCGATTTTTTGCTGAGCGCGTTGGAATATTTAAGCCAGCGGAGCTGTGTAACCTCGGCAGAAAGGTTTCAGTGTAGAAGCAGATACCCCTATTATTAATAGCTAGCTAGCTAGAAGCAGATACCTGTAGTGCTTAGCTAGCTAGTGCTTAACTTGCGCTTAGCCAGCTAGAAGCAGATCCCCTAGCTAGAAGCAGATTCCCATAGCAAGCTAGAAGCAGATACCCCAAGCTAGCTAGAATACTAGTTATATTGCTTTTGCTAGCTTTAGAGTTTTTCCTGGTAGAAGCAGATCCCCCTACTAGGATGCATGTAAATAGCTTTAGCTGGTTTTTTAAAGCACCATCCTAGCTCTAGGATACTTATTTAGTTTTTGCTGACTTATTTGTATTCCAACCCTACCCTTATACCTGCAGGGACTACCGTAGCAGGAAAAACAATTAAAGGGGTTGAGGGCTCTGGCAGCAAGACTGCCGAGGTATAGAGATGCTACTTGAGTGATAGTATAAGGTACATGTATACATGCACCGGTATCTTGTGGCAGCGATTTTGTGAATGGGAACCAATGTCAGGCTACCGGGACCGGTAGTAGGTTGCTATTACCGCAATGTTCTATTTGGTTACCGATTCGATTACTAATATTTAATAACCCGTCTAATTCTATGCTAGCTAGCTTTGATTGTACGAAAGACCAAGTCTGTGTACATTATCGTCGCCTCCTCCGTTGGGTTGCCTTTCAATGACTGCATGACTTGACTCGACTAAACTCGACGACGCACTCCTGAGAGAAATGAGGCCGCCATCACGTCAGAATTGTAATTTCAGCATTTCTGTTGTCTTATACGATTCTGTTCTTTTTTGTCCGAAACTCGGACAAGAATTCCGAGCTCGCGGAAGCATCATTCATCGACGCGTCTGCGATGGACCAATGACAATGCCGGGACCATGGCGGCACCTGTTCCTCTTCAACTATTGCTCTTTTAGCGGAAAGAAATTGGTGTCTTTTGGCATTCTGCTTTCTTCGGGCATTTATTTTTTTCTTCTTTCAACGCTTCCCATCCCATCTGCAGTCAGTCAGTGAGTGATCGAGTGATTGATTGATTGTTCTTTCTTTACATTTTGGTTGGAGTAACTAACTCTCAGCCATAGAAATAATTACTTCATTGGTATAGAAGAAAACTGAAACTGAAGATGACCAAGATGGTTCCTCCAATGCTAGTGATGATGATGATGCTGGTGTTGATGATGATGACTTTGGTGGTGGTGGATGGATTTGCTCCTTCTTGTGTGACTTCAGTGGTTGGAATGAGAACTGCTTCTTGCTCTGCTTCTTCTTCTAGTCAATTGCTGGCCATGGTCTCGAACAGTACCGGCACGAGCAGTATGAGTACCAGTAATAATAATAATCAAGTGCAAGTGGACTTTGGTCAATGGGCCAGTTTCGAACCAGCGTGCAAAGAGAATACGTCGCTGCAAGCTTCTTTGAAAGCAAGACAAGACGAATTGAAGAGAGGCATTGGCCGTCGCTACGTCATTTTGGCATCGGAGCTTCATGTTCATTCCTCCATTTCCGGAGGTCCGCAGCAAACCGACAATGTCGTGGCCACTCTGAAACGAGGCGATATTGTCACCTCGCAAGATCGCATTGGAAAATACTGGGTCAAACACGATGCGGGGGGTTGGAGTTATACATGGAAGGAAGGAAACTACGTGTTGCAACTCATTCAAGAATAGTACCACAGTTCCAGCCATCACAAGCAACAAGATTATAATATTATACAACATGTATACAGTACTAGAGAGAAACAAACAGTCATTGGACCACCAGACCGTCGTACCGTAACGTGCATAGCTATAGGAAGCAATTCCAGTCTCTGTGTACTTTTACCAAGTTGCGGATTGATAGATAGATAGATAGCATTCTTACATGCCATAGAACTTAGCCTCCTCTTTGTCGCTGCCTGATCAAGCTACGAGCCTTCTGCCTTGTGGGGAGCAGGCTACTAGCTAGCTAGCTAGATAGCTACACACAAATCTACAAACGCGAGAATGAGTTTCGAGCTCCCTCCTTTGCCTACACTCCGCAAGCATTCACCGTTGTCACGTCATCATCTATATAGTTTCTTCATCTTAGTTAGTTGTGTGTTTTATTATGCCACCTCGGGCATGAGCAAATGAATGAACTGATCCTCAAACTCTTCCAGCGTGGAATCCAGCAATAGTGCACTATCCAAGATTCCGCTGAGATCATCATGTTCGTTTTGCAAGGAATCCAGCAATGTACTTTCCAAGAGATCATCATCTTCGTCTTCGACGACCTTGTCTGCAGGTGCTGCTGCCGTACCAGTTGTGCCACTCTGCTCGGAACATTCATTGGTAACAGCACCCAGGTCATCATGACTTTGATTGTCTTGTCCAGCAGCCTCTGTATCCATCTGATTGTGGTTGTTGCTGTTGTTGCTGTTGTGTGCTGCTGCTGTTGCTGTTGGTAACTGCCACAATTCCCGTTTCCTGGCATCTCGAAAGCAAGAACTGACTTTTCTCCTCGCCGCAGAGTCATCCTCTACTGGGACCCAACCAAGTTTGTGGTGTTCTTTCAAGAACCGTCCTTGCCAGTCTTGTGTCACAATCCGGACCACTTCTTGTGCAATTTCCGTCTTTTTGGCTTTATTGTTGTTGGCATTGTCATATTGTGGTCGGTGTTGGTCAATGAGTTTTCGAAAGCGAATGTTGCCACAATGGTTCTGGATGCCTCTTCCTTTCCCCATGAGGATATCACTGTTGGAGGGTGTATTGACAACTTTCATCGTCATGACGGGAGGAGCCATTGTGTTTTCCTTGCTGTTGTTTTTGTGGGCAGGAGGTTTGGTGGTGGTGGCTGTCAACGTTTCTTTCTCATCATCAACTTTGCCTGCCAAATCATCTGCAGTTGCAGTTCTGACGGATGGAGACTTCTGCTGCTGCTGATGCTGTTTCAATAAGAGCTGTTGATGCTGTCTCTGCAGTCTCTCATTGTTTCGGATTCTATTCCAGCGATCTCTATGCAACTGATGCGCAAATTCTCCCTCATTGGAAATGGGAATGAACTCTGTGGGGATCCCATAGGTCATCAAGGAGAACTTGAGTTCGGATGGAGTGCCGACATGCCTGCGGACTCGTACCCGGAGGAATGCATTCATGGCCATTTGTGCCACACTCACTAGCGGAGTACTAATATGTCCACTACTTTCTTGGTCAATACACATGTGAATGCCTTGATGACGAATGTGTGCTCCGGCTTGCAGGTTGGAAATCTTCCATAGATCCGCTGCCTTGCCCAAACTCCCAGCCACCCAAATAATGTAGACTCTACCCTGAATTTGGGTTTCCAAATCTCGTGCCGCCACTCCGAGTGTATAAAACAAGACGCGCATTCGATTGAGGACGGGCATGGCATGGCAGTCAATATCGTTGCGAGAGAGCATAATGACGACTTGACGTCCAGCTCGATCCCGCACGGGCAAATCGACAAACCAAGTCTGGTACAAGACTTGGAGCGAAGTTGGATCCAAATCATCCTGAGTAATTTCTTCCTGACACAACAAGTCGGGTCCAAACAATTCTAGTTTAAGCTCCAAATGAGTCAAGAGACGTTGGGCGGCCGGCCATGGCTGGAAGCGATCGGCTCTTAGAAACATGAGTCGAAAGTCTCTCGACGTCACATAGGCTGCATTCATGGTCAGAGCCTGATTGTACGCCATTTTGCGCTTGTCAGGAATTTGCTTCAACGCAGTTTCCAATTCCTCCAACTTTTGATCCACAAACGCAGGTGATGAGTCTTCCGCGGTATTACCATCACCATCAAGGCCATAGAGATCGACTACTACTTGATGTTGCTCTGACGGTGGAAGATCATCCAGTTCCTTTTGGGTCAAAGAAAGCACATCTCGAGTCACTGGGTCCACATCAGCTCCATGTGCGACTTCTTTGTTGGCTTCTACTACATCCTCATGGTTGGCATCTTCTCGGCGGCGGGGACTAGTGTCCTTTTCGGCTGGTCGCTTGCCCATGGTCGATCCTTTTCAGAACAAAACTTGAATGGTCTCGATCGAATCTCGATTTTGTGTCAATGTTGCCGTCGAAGGTCGGAGCCATGCAGTTTTGCTTCGTTGCAGCTTCAGCTGGCCTTTAAATCTTATGAGGCTCTTTTGAGCAAACGCCAGCCTGGTCTCGTGTTCTCCTTTTGGATCTCGCAGCCAGGTCTCGCGAGATCTCCGTGTGAAGCGGCTCTGGTTCTTTGGAGGGTTGCAACTCTTGCTCACAAAATCAAAAGCTCCAACAAACCAAAACACCAACAACTCAGACATCAACAACTAACTAACAACAATATCAAAATGATTTCCGCTGCTCCCAAATCTGTCTTGATCACCGGCGCCAATTCTGGCCTTGGACTCGAATGTGCCCGTCAGTTGGCCCTTCTCAATGTGGAACGTATCGTCATTGGCTGTCGCAGTGAAGCCAAGGGAAAGCAGGCCCAAGAAGACCTGAAGCAGGCCATGGCCAAGGCAGGCAATTCCTCCAACAAGACCAAATTTGAAGTACTCCTCATGGACCTTTCGGACATTCCATCCGTCAAAAAGGCGGTCGCGACTCTGGCTACTCCTGTCGAATCCTTGGTCATGAATGCCGGTGGATTGGGAGGAGGCAACCCGGGTAACTTGACCAAGAACGGTGTTTCCATGACGGTTGCAACCAATCTTCTGGGGCATGTCGTTCTCTTTGATGGCCTTGTTCAAGCCAACAAGCTGACCAAGTCGGCTATTTATGCCGGGAGCGAAGCGGCCCGAGGCGAATGGAGAATGATGTTGCCGTCCACAAAGGTCAAATCCGGTTCCAAGCAAGAGTTCCAGTCCATGTGCGATGGATCCTTTTACGGAAACAAATCCCAAGACTTGTCCATTACATACGCGGGTACCAAGTTCTTGGCGGCACTTTGGGTCGGCGCCGTTGCCAGGGCACACCCGAATTTACGAGTCGTCACGGTCAGTCCTGGACACACGGCCGGAACCGGAATCTTTGAACCAGAGGGACTTCCCAACGTGGCCAAGTTCTTGATGAAGAACCTGGTCCTGCCTCTTCAGTACCTCTTTGGAATGGCGCAGTCCAAGGAAACGTCGGCCAAACGATACGTCGACGTGCTGTGCGACTCTACTGGAACGACGTACCCGTCGGGAACCTTTTTCGCCAGCAAGCGGGGGCTCACCGGGCCCATTGCGGATCAATCGACCTACTACAACAAAGTCTTTTCCAATCAGACGTATCAGGACAATGCCAGTGACGCCATTCATTCCTTTATCGATGTGTAATTATGGTTTACGGATTCGGCTTATACGTAAGCTATGTGGCTGTTGACGTTGTGGTAGAAACATACTCAGTAAGTGAACACGGTCGATCGGCAATTGGCTCGTAAGTAAAAATAGCAAACAAGTTAGTTATAAAAGTGAAATTATGAGACGCCAGCTTGCTGCGACGGGTTTGTTGTCCGTCGCGATGGCTGCATCCTGCGACTTTCAAAGGCGCATCCGCGGCATGCGCTAGATGCTAGTCGTGCTGCAGTCGATCTCGCTAATGGTACGCTCAGCAACCGTACGGTACCAGCTGCATGTTGCCAGACTCGTGCTGAGAGTGTCATTGACCACCGTAGGTTTCGAATCCAATGTCTTGTATGCCTCCCAACGTTTCGCTTCGGTGCAACTCGTCGAGTCCCGATCCCATTCTCCCGAACAACATTCCAATGCCGCAGTATTCACCTCAGACAGGATGTCGAACTGTATCCATCTAGCTATAGCTAAACAGATACTTCATCTCCAGCAAGCGCAACTTCCTCATCCAGGCGGAGCCACTTTTGGCTGCGGCCAATGAGCTGTGAGAATGGCCCAGTTTTCTTTGGTGCTCCCTCCTCGGCATTTGGTGGTTCTTGTTCGTGCAAGTAGCGATCATTGCCATCATGCGCAAACGAGACATCATGCGCAAACGAACACTCCTGCGCCTCTTCATCCATCCAATGCTCAGGGTTTGATGCGGGTGTAAGCTCACTATGTGTACTTGCAGCATCCTCTCTGCCTTCGGGCCAGTGGGCACCTGATGACCGGGACAGCTCTCCTATAAAGGACGTGTGA